TAAACATGTCATAATGCAAGAGTACGGGGTTTCTTTGAATCCATTAAGCTACATAATTAAAAATAGTTAGCGCATTATCTTTCCTATACATAATTTTGTTAAATAATTTTATTTGATAAAAAATTAAAGAAGTAATATGCAATCTACTCATATTTTATTTTATTATTATTGATGAGGGGCAAATTTTATTAATATATGAGATGGTTCACTTTATTAATAGTTATAAAATATACATTTTACACAAGACAAACTACAAAATTTTTATAGTTCATAAAAAAATTCAATTATTGTTCTTGAGATATATTAAAAATTATTACTAAATTGATATGAAGAATTTGAAAGATAATTAAGGATTCCTTTAATATGGTTGTGATTTTTAGTTTTAATAAATTTTAAAATTATTGAAAATTAAAAGTAAAAATAAAAATTAACAATTTGTTTAAAATATATTTTAACATTAAATACTTAAAATATGAACTTGTTTGAGTAATAATATTAAAATTATTTATTTTTATTTCTTTAATAATTTAATAACATATTACAAAAACATATAAAATTAGATAATTTTATTTAAAATTTAAAATTTATAAAATCAAAATTAAAAACCAAAAATCATAATTATACTAATCTTATCATTGTTTTCTTTTCTTCTTTTTTTTTGAAATTGAGGGACAATAATGAATATTTTTGATAAATTCGATATTTTTATTACCATATTTGCTCCTATCTGGATAGCTTTCACCAACCATATAATCTAGTCACCAGTATTACAAATAAGGTTGTGATATAGGGACAATTTTTTTATACCACATTTTTATACAACTTTCATATGTTATTAAATGAGTAAATGCATTTAATATTATGAGTCTTATATGAATTATATAAAAAGATAAAATAAAAAAATTATACAAAAATTATTTCCCTATAAACAAAAACTCTATATAGGCTCACTTTCGTGCATTCATACGCTCTCTACAACCCTTTGAAACCCACGACGTGTCACTCTTCGAATTCTCTATTAAAACCATGTGGTCAAACTTGTGTGAATCTTGTACTATCCTCTAGCATCAATCTCGTTATTTTCCGCTAAAGACCTGTTCCAATTTGACGCACAC